GTAAATGGCTGTGAACTTCCTCAAGAAAAAGCCTCTAAGTCTTTCCTTGTCTAAATGCTTTGCCAAACTTTTTGCTAAAAACGTTGTTCTTGTCCCAAGATGCCCGTAAAGTGGCCTGTCTCATTCTTAAGAGATCTACCACTCTTGAGAACTCAGCTGGGGAGAAAAGCAGGCGATAAATACATAGACACAAAAGCATGCACCTTGACTGCCTTTGGTGAAAAGAGAGCAAAACAGGAATGACTTTTTTAAAAATCCAGTTTGATTTCAGTAACTCATACAGAAATTCATTCTAGAAGGGGAAAGGGTTCTTCCCTGGGTGAAGAAAGCTGAGCATGGGTTGACTTTCTTTGTCCTTTGCCAGCTAGCCAGTTTGGTGTAGCGGTTAGGAGCGGCAGACTCTAATCTGGAGAACCCGGTTTGATTCCCCACTTCTCCACATGCAGCCTGTTGGGTGACTTTAGGTCAGTCACAATTTTCTCAGAGCTGTTCTCTCAAGAGAAGTTCTCTCAGAGCTCTCTCAGCCCCACCTACCTCACAGGGTGTCCGTTGTGGGGAGGGGGAGGGAAGGAGACTGTAGGCTGCTCTGAGACACCAAGTGAAGGGCGGGGTATAAATCCAATCTCCTCCCTTCCTCCTCCTCCTCTTCTTCTTCTTCCACTTCTTCTCTGTTTTCACATGATGAAACGTCTCAAAACAACAGCTCAAGCCCAAGTAGAGTTATTCCTTTCTAATCCCACTGATTTCAATGGATTTAGAAGGCCTTAACTCATTTTAGGACGGCACTGCAGATGGCCTGTAACTCCTCAGACCGTAATCACATCACATTTCATGGGACGATAATGAGTTCATCAATAGTACAAAAAAGAGAGAGAGCGAATGATCAAACGTCCAGCATTAAATCAAAATCTCCTTAAGAACAAGAAAGGTCCCGACTGCAACAATGCCGTCATAAAGGCGAGTATAATTCAAATCACAATTCCATTCACACCGATCGAGGAAGAGAGAAGACGAAATCAAATGTCAAATCCTCTTTTCCCCCCATTAATTCCTCAGCCTTTAAGTTCTCAGATCATTATATTAATATCTCCAAGTGGTTCATTAGAACCTTAATCCAGAAGGAGAACTTTGATCCTCCACGGAAATTAGATAATGCTCCCCCTGCTTCTAACCTTTACAACTTGTTTGAAAATCCTCCGGTGGATGGCATCGCCTCGACAAAAGAGGCAGAAGACTTAACTGTCAATGATCCTTGCTTTCCAATGAACTCGCATTAATAATCTGCCTTTTCACCGTGGCTGGAATCTTCCGTGCAGCGGTGGATGATCACTGGAGATCTGATGTTTTTATCGTATTACCAGCTGCCGGCCATCAGTCGCAAATACACGTTAGTAACTGTGCAATGTAGAATTAAGCTGTTCTGCGGTAATGCAGAAGTTACCTCCTTACAGCCTGGTCCTGTAGCGCACCTGAATCAGAAGACTAAGAAGTCAGAATCCACGGAGTTTAGGATGCCCTGCGGGTGTGGATGTCAAGCTCAGGTCTCGCTTGCCAAGAGTTTTCTCAAAACCATATGTATTTTCCCCATATTTCTTGCCTGGCTTGTCTCCCTCACTGTTTATCTTCTCAACTGTCTACTGGGGTGTGTGTGTGTGTGTGAATGTCAGCTTGGCTTGGTTAGTGCTAGCGTGTAACTATTCTCATGCAGAGGATTCCCGGGTGCTCCTTGGGAAGAATGTGATCTCATTTTGTTATGTGTCTTTGTAATCTAAGCAGCTTCTAGATAGTGCAACCGTCGGTACGCAGGTTTTGGGGGGCAGTGGTATGGGCAGAGCAAACATTTGGCAGGCTGAGTGGGCGCATTGATTGGCTAAAGGGCGTTTAGGGGATTTCCTAGTCCCGGTATATTGTCGGGACTGACATCTGGGAGTCAGTTCCGACACGAAAGTTGCCTATGCTTGGATCCTTTCTTTCTCCTAATAAACAAATCTTGCTGCTACAGGGGTGTTGTGAGCTTGATTGCAGTCCAGGACTTGACACTGGAGAGCCAGGGGTGCATCTATAAATTCTGTGGCTCTTTTACTGAATGGAAGGGGAAGGGGAAGCATGAAAATTGCGAAGGTCCCTTTCTTTCAAGCTTGACAGGAGCATTCGGGTGAGAAAATAAGGGGAAGAAACATTCTCCACTGAGCTGAGCTCCTTGCAGAAAGGCTGGGACGTAAATATAGGGAAATCGATGGAGGGAAACGGTATGGTACAGAGAGAGCCAGTGATGAACTTATTCACACTGGTGGTGGAAAGAGCTGTCAAGTCACAGCCAACTTTTGGCAACTGCGTACGGCAGGGGTGTCAAACATAAGGCCCAGTGGGGTGGAACCGGCCCGTCCAGGGCTGTTATGCAGCCTGAGAGCCAGTTTGGTGTAGTGGTTAGGAGCACAGACTCTAATCTGGGAGAACTGGGTTTGATTCCCCACTCCTCCACATGCAGCTGCTGGTGTGACCTTGGGTCAGTCACAAGTTCTTTCAGAGCTGTTCTCTGGAGCAGTTTTTGAGAGTGCTCTCTCAGCCTCACCTACCTCACAGGGTGTCTGTTGTGGGGAGGGGAATGGGAAGGAGATTGTAAGCTGCTCTGAGACTCCAAGTGAAGGGCGGGGTATGAATTCAATCTCTTCTTCTTTTTCTGCTGCAAGGAAAGGAACAGGAAGCCGTTCGTGGCTTCAGCACGGTGGGAGGACCTCGTCTGCAGGCACTGAGAAAAGCTCAGAAAAAATAAGGGGTACCTCCTTTGGGACCTTATGCCCCTCTGTTGTTCCTTGGCAGGGCCTGGATCCCGCTGTGAGGCCGGAAGCCTGGAAGTTTCTCACGGGATACTACTCATGGCAAACGTCTCATGACGAGAGACTCACCATTGAAAGCATGAGAAGGTAAAAACTGATCCAAGTGGCCTTGGTGGCTTCCCATATTCTACTTTTCCAGAGATGGGAGATCTTTTCACCTGCTGTGACTCCTCCTCAGGGGTCATTTCGTAAAAAAAAGAGGCGCAGGAGCTGATTAGCATAACTCATTAGCATAGCTCATTAGCATAACTTATTTGCATATGCCACACCCCCTGTCATCACCGGAAGTGTGTCAGAACGTGGGGGGGAACGTGCAGATCTGTCCTCACGGAGGAGGGAGAGCTTGTACCTGAATAAAACCTGGTCTTAAAGGTGCCACTGGACTGTTTTGGACCGGGGGGAGGGGCTCTGCAACTGACCTGGCTGCTTCTTGCTCTGACTGAGGGCTGCTGGGAGCAGGGGGCGGGGCTTGTTGCATGTGCCCACCCCCTGGGCTCTTTACTGCCAGAGCTCCGCTCCTGTGCGCTCCTGCAGGAAATGACCCCTGCGTCGTCCTTCTGAACATCTGTTTGGGATGGGGGGCCAAGGCTCAGGGGTGGAGCAGCTGCTGGGAAAGCAGGGAAGTCACACGTTCAGTCCCCAGATCTGGTGGCAGGAGAGGTGAAAGACCTCGCTCTGGGACCCTGGAGGACGTCCTACTGAGGTTAACTGGTGTGGTTTGCCCAGCCGCCCTTAGTTAGCAAAGTGCTTAAATAAAGCTACAAGAGCAGGAGCATCACTTTACCAGGCTACTCAGCTTACAAAGCGACACAGGGCCACATCCCCTGTTTAGAAGAGAAATAAGAAAGGTAAAGAAATACTCCTCTCTTTATTTGAGAAGTACACTTTGGATAGGAAAGAGCAGGGACATGATAGAGTACTAACTTACGAGCTCAAGGGTGGAGGTGGATGGCGAGAGGCCCATCTGCCTCATGGTGCCAAGAGTGGACTGCATGACCCTCTCTTGGTGCGTGCAGGGAGAGAGCATGTCTTCAGAAAGAGAGAGAGAGAGAATGAGAAGAGGGGGGGGAATTGGTCCCTGAGAACACAATCTGCATTTCAAAGAGGATAGTGTCAGGTAGCCCTGTCACGGATCTGGAATGTGGAGGGGTGCCCTCCTCCTCATTCCCAGCTCTTCCCTGTCCAGCTACTGTGTGCTATCTCTGGCCTGACCTTGTAGTCTCCAGCTGCTTTTACTCTGCCGGGAAAGTAATGGCTTTTCGCTGTGCCCGCTTGCTTCGTTTTGCCCACCTGCATGAACTATAATCATTGACTTCAGCTCAATGGGGGGGCGGGATGTTTGATTGCACTATAAGTCAGAGGCCCTTATACCAACGGCCATTCCTGACACAAGCTGTATACGTGTTCTTTAGTACTGGAATCACTAATAAAGCAGTTGTCTTCTTCTGAAACCCTGTGTGGTGTGACCTGCCTAAAGACCCTGACAGACAGTGGCAGAAGAGAAGATAACAGGAAGAAAGGTCAGTGTGCCTGTCTAGCTATCTAGTCTCTCTTGCCTCTCAGTCTGGAGGTCTGAGACAGGGGACATCACATCTGGGACTTCCAACACTTCCAACGAGAGTAGATAAGACTTACCTCGATAGATCAGTGGTCTGACCCAACAGAAAGCAGCTTCGTGAGTTCAGGATGTTCTTGAAGGTACAAGTGCCCCGGCTTCCATTGAATGTGGGCTCTGTCGTATAGGTACAGCTTATCACTTGAGCTCTCGTGCCATAAATCATTGTAAGGTGTGTGTGTAACCTTGGGCTTCCTTGGTGGTCTCCCATCCAAGGACTAACCAGGGCTGATCCTGCTTAGCTTCTTAGGGTGAGCCTGTAGGGTCTTCAAGGCAAGAAGAGATGAACAGAGGTGGTTTGCCATTGCCTGCCTCTGCATAGCAACCTTGGTCTTCCTTGGTGGTCTCCCACCCAAGTACAAACCAGGGCTGACCTTGCTTCGCTTCCAAAATCTGACAGTGGTGGTTTGCCATTGCCTGCCTACTTAGCCTCAAAGATCTGATGTGATTAGGCTACCCTGGGCTTTATAGATTAAGGCAAGAAAAGAGCAGAGGTGGTTTGCCGTTGCCTGCCTCTGCACAGCAACCCTGGACTTCCCTGGTGGGTCTCCCATCCAAGGACTAACCGGGGCTGACCCTGCTTAGTTTCATGAGCTCGTGGGCACTCCATGAAATTGCTGAGCGGTCGGGTTAGAACGGATAAAAGGAAGTACTTCTTCACTGAAAGAGAGATTAACACATGGAATTCACTGCCACAGGAAGTGGTGGCAGCTACAAGCATGGACGGCTTCAAAAGGGAATTAGATAAGCATATGGAGCAGAGGCCCATCAGTGGCTATTAGCCACAAGGTATAGATAGGGGCTCTGGGGCAAGTGATGCTCTGTCATCTTGGTGCTTGGGGGGATCAACAGTGGGAGGACTTCTGATGTCCTGGCCCCATTGGTGGACCTCCTGATGGCACTGGTATTTCTGGCCACTGTGTGATACAGAGTGTTGGACTGGATGGGCCTTTGGCCTGATCCAGCATTGGCGTCTCTTATGTTCTTATGAGCCATCCAAGTCAGGGCGTCTAAGTGCTGTCAAGTCTAGGGATGGGCACGGACTGGCTGACGAACTAAAGTTTGTCACAAATGTTGGCCAGTTCATGGATCGCAAAGTGATGTTCGCGAATTGAAGAACCGCCACGAACTTCAACAAACGTTGGTGCAATTTGCGGTGGTTCGTGAAGAGCAGAGATCCAGCGCAGCATAGTGGATAAAGTGCTGGACTAGGATCCTGAGACACCCAGGTTCAAATCCGCACTTCTGCTGCACCCATCACAAACTCTCCCCCGGCCTACCTCGCAGGGTGGTTGTTGTTACAAAATGGAGAGAACGATATGCTAAGACCCTTTGAGCCCCAGCTGGGGAGAAAAGTGGGATATAAATCAATCCAGGAAAATGCATCGCAGGGCTGCCAATTCCTTGGGGTCAGCGGCCAAGGAAGGCAGATTTTGGGTATGGGAAAGAGCTCAGCTAAGGCGGGGAGGGGGGTTGCCAGCTCCAGGTTGGAGAACTCCTGGAGCTTTGGGGATGGAACCTGGGAAGGACAGGGACCTCGGTGGGGTACAATGCCATAGAATCCACTTTCCAAAGCTTCCAGAAGAACTGGTCTCTATATAATTCCAGGGGATCCCCAGGTCTCACCTGGAGGTTGGCATCCCTAGGCTCAGCAGGGATGCGATGCCAAAGGAGTCCACCCTCCGAAGCTGCCATTTCACCCAGGGGAACTGAGCCCGTTCGCGGGGAGGGCGGGGTATAAATGTCATAAAATAAATAAATAAAATAAATATCCAGTTCGGAGAGCAGTTCTAATTCTGGGGTATTTTGGGAGCCCACCTGTAGGAGAACAACCGTACTTAACGCGGTTGTTGTGAAGATAACATAGGAAAGGGAGAACCACATACCCAGCCCAGTCTTTGGAGGCAGGGTGGGCTAAAGATCTCCTAGATGCGAGAGATCTCTCGGCAGGAAATTCCAGCCGGCTACAGACTTACAGGTTCCTAAATCTCCTGTGTCTTGACTGAGCGGCAAACATATTGAAGGACTCCAAAGCTCAGTGAAGAGTGTGCATGAGCTGGAGGTGCAGGGTCCCAAATTCCAGCTCTGGTATTTCAAGTTAAACTAATTTTGTCAGCGCAGCTGGGAAATCTGCCCGGAACGTTAGGGGAACTGCTGTCAGTCACACTGAATGGATCAATGAACAGATAAAAGGAAGCCCTTCCTTCCCCAAAGAGTAATTATCACGTAGAATTCACTGCCACAGGAAGTGGTGGTGGCTACAAGCATAGACAGCTTCAAGCGGGGATTGGAGAAACATGGAGCAGAGATCCATGAATGGCTATTAGCCACAAGGTATAGATGGAGCACTCTGTCTGGGGCAAGTGATGCTCTGTCTTCTTGGTGCTCAGGGGGCCACAGTGGGAGGATTTCTGGAGTTCTGGCCCCACTGGGGGACCTCCTGATGGCACCTGGGTTTTGGCCATTGTGTGACACAGAGTGTTGGACTAGATGAGCCATTGGCCTGATCCAACATGGCCTCTCTGATGTTCTCATGTCTGGGGGAGAGATGCTCTGTATTCTTGGTGCTGGGGGGGCCACAGTGTGGGGCCTTCTAGAGTTCTGTCCCCGCTGGTGGACCTTCAGATGGCACTTGGGTTTTGACCATTGTGTGACACAGAGTGTTGGACTGGATGAGCCATTGGCCTGATCCAACATGGCCTCTCTGATGTTCTCATGTCTGAGGGAGAGATGCTCTGTATTCTTGGTGCTGGGGGGGCCACAGTGTGGGGCCTTCTAGAGTTCTGTCCCCGCTGGTGGACCTTCAGATGGCACTTGGGTTTTGACCATTGTGTGACACAGAGTGTTGGACTGGATGAGCCATTGGCCTGATCCAACATGGCCTCTCTGATGTTCTCATGTCTGGGGGAGAGATGCTCTGTATTCTTGGTGCTGGGGGGGCCACAGTGGGGGGGCTTCTAGAGTTCTGGCCCTGCTGGTGGACCTCCTGATGGCACTTGGGTTTTGGCCACTGCGTGACATCGAGTGTTGGATGGTCCAATATGGCTTCTCTTATGTTCTTAGGTTTTTAATGATAAGGCCATGGGGGGGGGAGTTGAAAAATGAAAGTGATTTCCTTTGAGACTATTTCAGGATATTGCTTCATAGGCGGAGGACAGACAGGGAAATCCTAAGCAGTGTTAAACCCTGCTAAACCTGTTGACGTCAACCAACTTACACAGGTGTCACACGGGTTAAGACTGCAGCAAGAGTGAGCTCATAGGGTTGTGAGCTCTGGGTGGGGGAAGACCTGGAGATTTGGGGGTGGCACCTGTGGAGGACAGGGACCTCAGCAGTGTAGAATGCCATGGAGTCCACCCTCCAGAACTGATCTCGGTAGTCTGGAGATTCGGTTGTAATTCCAGGAGATCTCCAGACCCCGCCTGGAGGAAGAAGAAGAGAAGAGATTGGATTTCTACCCTGCCCTTCACTACCCGAAGGAGTCTCAGAGCAGCTTACAATCTCCTTTCCCTTCCCCTCCCCACAACAGACACCCTGAGAGGTAGAAGGAGGAGGAGGAGATTGGATTTCTACCCTGCCCTTCACTACCCGAAGGAGTCTCAGAGCGGCTTACAATCTCCTTTCCCTTCCCCTCCCCACAACAGACACCCTGAGAGGTAGAAGGAGGAGGAGGAGATTGGATTTATACCCTGCCCTTCACTACCTGAAGGAGTCTCAGAGCAGCTTACAATCTCCTTTCCCTTCCCCTCCCCACAGCAGACACCCTGTGAGGTAGGTGGGGCTGAGAGAGCTTTCCCGAGAACTGCGCATGAGAGAACAGCTGTGAGCGAACTTGTGACTGACTCAAGGTCACACCAGCGGCTGCATGTGGAGGAGTGGGGAATCAAACCCGGTTCTCCCAGATTTAGAGTCTGCGCTCCTAACCACTACACCAACAGCTGTGAGCGAACTTGTGACTGACTCAAGGTCACACCAGCGGCTGCATGTGGAGGAGTGGGGAATCAAACCCGGTTCTCCCAGATTTAGAGTCTGCGCTCCTAACCACTACACCATACAGGCTGGTAACCCTAGACCCAATGGACAGTTTTTCTGATTGTTTTAGGGTGGCCAGAAGAATAGGATTCTGACTTTTGATTTGGAGAAGGCAGGTTGGAGGCGTGCTGTGCCGAAAGGGCAGCGGGCACTCATCTCTGTCATCTGGAGAACAATTGAAGTCCTGGGAGCTTTCCGGGGCCCACCTGGAGGTTGGCAACCCAAGGGCCAATTGGAAAATTGGCACGCTGATATTTCAGTAGCAAATGCCACTGTGGAGAAAGGGCGAGCTACTTGGGATTTTGCTAAATTTATTCTGGACGTCTGCAATTTGGAAATGGAGATTGTTGTTTTAGAGCTAGCTGTCACGGGCTGCGGGGAGGATAACACCAGTGCTGTTCGATTTGACGCGACTCTTCC